CCACGAAAAGGTGTAAAATCTACATTATTTGATCAAAAAGATGTATTATTCGAACGAAACTCATCATCATTGAAAGCGTCAAATATCAGACGAATATCAGTATTATCATTTAAAGAAGTATTTGAATGAAACACATTAGATGTATTTGATCGAAAAACATCATCATTAAAATTTGTATTATTAGAGTGAGATGTAAATGAACACGCATTAGTTGAATGCAACATACATGGTGTAGATGGATGCACATTATGTGCCATAGATAAACGCGTATTAGTCGAACATAGTAAACGTGATGTTGGGGTAGATAGACATGTATTAGTTGAACGTGATGTGGTATAATAAGATGTATTAATTAAATGTGAATTATAATTTAAAGTTCTATCAGTTGCTTTGTTTGAATTATTTAATGAGTTATTATGAAGCTTATTAATATGCATGTTATTTGTAATCGGTGTAAGAGGTTTATATTTGACACTTATAACATTTAAATAAATGAAAAGCGAATAAATTAATAATGATAAACAATAATAAGCATGGATTTAAGTTATTATACACTTTCTTTATCTTCTGAAAGATAGCCATCGCTTGTTTCTAAAAGTTCACTAACTGAAATGGTTGGTCTTTCAGCAGGTAATTTATCATCATTTTCGTCATTACCTTCATTATCATCATTATCTTCAATATCATTATAATCTATAACACCATCATCATCTTTGCTGTCATTGCCATCAATACATTCATTATTATCACAAACTTTATTATTTTTCTTTTGATTAATAGGGCCGTTATTTCTTGTATTTTCCCATTATCACTATCATTTAAAGCTTTGATAATAGGCTCCTTCTTCTTTCAACCTCATTTAGCTGCAGGAGCTGGCTTTTGTATTTTCCCATTATCATCATCATTTAAAGCTTCGATAATAGGCTCTTTTGTATTTTTCTTCAGACCTCGCTTAGCAGGAGTTTTTTGTTTTTTTAGCAAGCGTATCTGGTATAAGAATATCATCTTCCTGCTTTCTCTTTTGATTTCTGGTCTTTAGGAATGCTACTAATTCTTCATTTTGCGTCCTCTTATTTTTTGGTGACATGATGAAAAAAAATAATTAATAGTTTTTTTTTTAAACACAAGAAATACAATTTATATAGTTAACTTTTTTAGTGTCTTTATTAAAAGGTTATAATTTTATATACTTATTATATACTTTCATCACGAATATGTATTTAAACTTTTATGGAATCAATCAAAATCAATATTTATTAGAATTTTCCTATATAGCTAAACTTTTATAGTAATAAAAAACATATAATTCTTTTGCTAAAATAAAAAAATTTGATTCATGCCAGTCTTTAGATTAGATGTTCTGATCTCTGAGCAATAGATAAGCATTACATATATAACAGTTTAAATTTAACAAATGTAACAGTTAATATTGTAATTTACTATAAATGATTTAATCGATAAACTAACTGATACTTTTAATATTAATAATAGAGTATTAACTATGTAAAAAGAAATGTTAATATGGCGGAAGGATTTTAATTATGCTATGCAAAAGTTTTTTTAATAAAAATTAATAAATCAGTACTGCCTCAAATGTCAGCGCTCTTTACTTTTACAGAGTTAAATTTATTAAATGTTGATCATACGAAATTATTACAACCATTACAAATATCAGTATAAGGGAATATCAGAGAAATTATATTTTATTAAAGATATCATGAAAAAAAAGTGTTCTTTCTTCTAAACATCAATCCATCCCTTATATACATTATTTTCAAGGGGATAATTCACCTAGAGGACAAATTGATGAGACCATTTTGGCTAGTCATGATCAACTTGCCAAGTGGTCAATTTGGCATATGCTGATCTTCAAATTTAATGTAATCTACTAACTCTATTAAGCAAACAATGCAAACAATACAATCGGTATCACTAATGCTAATAGTTTAATTAATTTTTATTGAAAGTATTTCATATCGCATATGATATAATATAATTGTCATTGTAAACATTATTTTTACAAAAGCTGTATCAATTAAACTGATTTATTTATTTAAATATTTCTATAAATGTCTAAATTTGTATTAAAATATGATTATACTATTTGTAATAATAAAGTCTAATTATTGTTCGCTATAAAAGTATATAAATGGCTTCATTTAAAAGAATGACTTTTTAAATACTTGTATAACTTTTTCTTTCATATCTTTCTTTAATAAAATGTTTCAAAATCGTTATAGTACCGGTACTTCTAATAATCAATATAATTATATTAAACAATGATATAACACGTTTAATATATCTTCACAAATGTCTATGATGTTAAATGAAAGAAGTTATGGGACAGATGGTAAATATTGATATTGTTATTATAATATGATATATGTACATTTTCCAGAAGTTCCGTTTCTATTCTTATAGAAAATATAGTAGATATGGTTGTCGATAAAAATAATGATTATACTGAAATGACTATTTATAATGAAAATGAAGAAATAATACCTGCTATTGACTTAGAGAATAAAGACGATATAGAGCTTAATAAAAAGGATGAAGAAGCATACAAAGATGAGATGGAATTCTATATGAATGATAAAGCAAGTGAATATGATAGAATAATGACGGAGTTTTACAAAAGTAATGAAGAGGATGATAGTGACTATGAATATGATGGTGAAGGAGAATCGGATGAAGAAGTAATAATTGATAAACCTTTTAGTAATGAACAAATGCCACAAAGTTTTGGTGAATTCACGCTATACTTTAAGAATATCACCGAATAATTATTCTTCTATTGGGTAGAAAAACACCACATATGTAAGTTAGATTACTTCAAAACTTTAAATGATATTATAAACAAACTAATAGCATTTCTTTACCAGATACTCAAGCATATGACGAACTGGTAAACATAATTCAACATCTGCAGTTTAAAAGTGAAGACATTGTGTTAAATAGTCGACGCTTTAAAAAATATAGACAGAGATTGCCTTTACTTCTAATTAAATCTCGCTGAATTAGCATTTTCAACAAGAAGACATCGTCAACATCTAAAAACATTAGAGAAGCATATTATTTGTTCATTATAGATATTATTTGTTACATTTTAAATAATTCTTCGTTATTTAGCAATATATACTTCAGACCTGATCAGGAAGTTGAAAAAACAAAGAATTTTAGCACAGGAACCTGTGGAAGGAATCTGCAAGATTCAGACAATCATCAGTTACAGTCGCTCAAGATTACTTCAGAAAGAAATTTAATTGCTTTCTGTTGACAAATGTTTACAAATTTTCTTTGTAGAAGTATACTACTCTGGTGATTTTATAATATACAGAGAATCTAGAGAATTGAAAAGATTTGGCCGCATATTAGCATTTGTATAATAAGATGACTGACTAAAGGTTAAAATCCAAAGCATTTTAACATATGACGAGTTATCAAGAAATTTGCAAAGTAACAATCGAAAACACAGATCACAAAAAGAAGAACTGTGATTCCTGAACTGAGATATGGATAATGTAATCATAAATGTCAAATTGCAAGCAATTGTTAAACATATATTAATTGTTATTCTTTATGGTAATATTATAAACATTGCTAATTCAATTAAAATTAAGGAAGTTTTTTACAAGCATAATAGTTGCTGGAAGTTAAGAGATGTTAAATATTCATATCAACATTTCTTAAAATTCGTGGTATTAGAAGAACCAGAAACACATTTTCCTATATACAAATTATTCATTGATGTGTATTACGACGACTTTGAAACATTCTGTAACATTTATCATTTGTTAGACAACGTCTATATCCAGATCAGAAATATGCTGCTCAATGAAAGAATACACTTCAAAAACCATTTTATACTTGGATTTGTTCCTTTTAGTGATTCTTTTGATGAATTTATCAAGCCATTAATTATAGAAATAAAAGAATTAGAGAAAGGAATTGTCGTGAAAATCTAAGAAAATGAATGCATTGTTATTGCAAGCCTTGGTGATATCACTGCCGACTTGTCACAAGGTAACGATTTGGTTGGAGTAAAATGACATAGTGCTAATAGAGGATGCTGGACCTGCAATGTAACAAAAGATTTTTTGACATCTGATGGATTTGACTTGCAGTTAATTTCTCATTATCATAAACAATTTGAAAAGATTTCTAAGATATCAACAATTACAGAATGTAAAGCAATTACAACTGAGTATAGACTATGATTACAGCCACCAATTCTTAATCAATTAAAAAGAGAAAGACATCTCCAATCACTACAAGATGTCTATCATCTTACAGCTGGAAAAGTGTTAATATTTTTTAAGATTACAATCAAAGCACTTTTACCGGGTGGACAATCAGAATTATTAATAGCTTCGAATATCTGAAGTCTTGGCGAAAATTACCGAATCCAATATCTCACATTGACAGTTTTATAATGTCGAATTGTTTACAACTAACTATGATGTTTTCGTTTATCCTTAATAGATTCTTGAATCATACACATTTTAAAAATTCAGAACTTGGCTTATTTTAATATTGAACAGGAGTTACTCGAAGCAATTTGGCTGTGAAACTTTGGATAAAGTGTTGGGTATCAGTAGCAAAAATGATGGCAATGGTATTTAAAGATTCTTATTCAAAAGAAGATTATAACAAATTATGCGAAAGTTTGGATAATGAACGAAAACTTTTATCACTGGTAACATTCAGTTCTTTAATTTATATGACTGGTTATTAAGCATATATGTGCAATTAAAAGAAACAAGAATAATAGGTAGCAAAAGTTTGGTTATTCATTTATTGATTTATTACATCTTACTACTAATTACATTGAACAAATTTTTATTATGTAATACACATATAGCAAATAGAACATAAAATCAAACAAAGAGAAACGATAAATAAGATCATGTGACAGCATATATATATGTTCATCCATTTATTATATTTTATTATATTTTATTACAAGTATAGCTAATCCTGATTATTTCATTTGTTTATAAACAGGCATTCAGAGACTTCAAAAATTTGCTGAATCTGCATACCAACTTTCACCTACTAATGCATGCAAAAATTACACAACATTGTTGAATACACGAAGGAGATGGTACATTGAATATTCAAAAGCATTGTATCACAAACAAATTTAAAAATGTGGGTCTGGATTTACTAAAGCATTACACCACATTATTTGAAATACGGCATTTATTAGACAGTAGCATAGATTTACGGTTTTTCACATCGAACAATGGATTTATGAACCTTTCGAAACATTTGAAATGCTTAATGAGTGACTGGTTCATTACAAAAGATGTAGTTTATAATAAAGATGATGCAAGTGAAGGTTTAATATGATAGTTTTATTATATTAACACATTATTACATTTATTTCACACGAATAATTATAATAATTATGTTTATTTATATTTACATTTCTTATTTATCTAAAAGTTTACTCTCCAGATGAACACATTTCTAATATATCAT